TCAAATATTGGCTTCCCTATTGAGTTTACAGCGAAGTCGCAAATAGATTTTTTAAAGGTATGGTAAATACACATGCCAAATTTGAACAATTTTGAACCGGCCGATTTTGAGTAATTTCGAAAAGATTGCACCTACTTTTAAATTAAAACCGTAACAGGTAAAGTAAAGGTAAAATCATCAAACACCTGTCAATGATCAGGTAGGTTTACCAACTTTGTTTTTGTCATTGTCATTTTAATATTCAGGGGAAATTAACCAAAACATGTCAGATACACTGTCTAAGCTATTTCCCGCATAGTATCATTTTTAGTATCATGCTCAGGTTTTTTTTGTGTGTATAACAATAAATTATTACTAGTACTGAATATTAAAATTTTATTAAAATTAAGTTACGTTTAAAAATCACGCTGACAACTTAAGTTATGTCGGATTTTGACTGGTGTTTCATTACTACCTATTCAGTTTTAATTAGAAAATCGATTCAGTTCTTCTCAAATTACTCAAAATTGGCTTGCCCAAAATTGTTCAAACTTGGCATATGTGTTAACCAAACGTAGAGCTTAAAAAAATCTATTTACGTCTTCGCTATAAAATCAATAGAGTAGCCAATATCTGGACAGTTTAAACTTTGCATGGGATTTCCAATATTTTCAACGACGATGCACCACCCGGTATGACTTCAAATATACATAAATCAATCTCAAAAATAATAATATTAAAGAAGATAATTTAATTGTATCATACATTTCTAAATATGAACCAATCTACTGTCCCAAACCCATTGAAAATAATTAAAATCGGTCCAGTACAAAAGATTCCAAATGTAATAAAATCTCGGACCCTAAAACATTAAATATGTTGTATGTGGACCATAACGGCGCTAGAACACACAAAGATACCAGAACTTCGAACGCATAAAATTCCTAATATACAGCCATTGAAAAATAAGTTTTGTAAAAAACTGTAGCATCCCCACCAGAGCCGGACTTGTAATTTGATGACTTAACAATGATTTCTAGAAAGTTCGTAATAACTAGATAAATTGTCATAGAAAATAAGATGAATTGAACTAATTCATCATACCCTATGAATATTGATAAAAATAATCATTTTTTCCGTATTCTGTATAACAGCTCTCACTATGGAAAATTGCCACTTGAACATGAAAAATGGGGTTTCAACAGAAATTTTTTGTTCTGTTCGGTGGAGGGAGTGCAATATGAAAGGATTGCAATACTTATGTCTGCATATCGTTTATATTATTATTATAAAAGATATTATAAAAGAGAGTTGCAATGTGATTCAAATTCTTCTACAAATTGGCCATGAACTTCGCCCAGAATGAAATCTAATTGTAGCCAGAACTATACAGTCAGTAAGTACATGTTGAACCGTCTAGTCTTCTTGTTTTAATCCCCTGCATCCCTGTTAATTACCTTCAATTGTGTCACTTACCTTAAATAGATATTATCCGACAGTCAAGCAGCCTTAAGAGTGATCTAAGTAAATTCCAAGAGAACTAACTAAGTAAGCGTATTCAAAGTTAGTTAAAGAATGCCTATAGACACTGAACAAATTAGGAACAACAAATAAAAGCATTTTACTCTGGGTGCCAGCCCACAGGAATAGAAAATAATGAAAAAGCAAACGATCTAGCTAGAAAAGAAGCAAAAATGTCACTAACTATAATAGACCAGAACAGTGAAAACTTTCCTAGTGAAAACCAAGTTAAAGTAGAACTGAAGAACCTGGAAGACTCCATACACTGGAATGGGTGCCACCCAAAGGTCAAAAACACTCGAAAAAATTCCCCAGAGTTTACGACCGAGAAAAATCAAAGATTTTCCTTGATTTATGTAAAAACAATCTTCAGATAGTTACGGGGTTTATAATAAGACACTCTTTCCTCATTGAACATCTCGGTAGATTGAAGCTAAGACACCGGAACGCAGATTCTGTAGGGAAAATGGGGAAACACCAGAACACCTCATGAATAACTACGCCGAAACGACAATCACCCATACCATAAACTTTAGTACGACTGATATCGGAGATGGAAAACCTACCTCTGTAAAACCGTCTCAAATACTGACTTTTGTCAAAACCCTGAACCCCTGGCCTCAATGTGTTTTACGTTTTCACGCGAAGCCTCTATGAGTGCATAATGATTCAATCTTCATAGAATTAAAATTGATTGCCTTTATTTAAAGTCACAATATGTTTTTTTGTTTAGATTTGAGAGGTGAAGGGAGAAACTTCCAACAGGTACTCGCATGGTAAAACCTACTATGTGCCAGACGAGTTATGTGGGATTTTTACCTCACTAAAACCTAACCACACCTCTGTCCTCTCTTCAGGAACGTTCTTTCCCCGACGCCACTCTTTGTAAATACTACTTCGCCGGGGCGTTCTTATTTGATGTTACTGCTGTCTATTCTTCCTAGGTGGTGCGAAGATCCTTCAGTATGGTCTCAGCATACTCCGCTACCTTTTCCATGCCGATTGACTCTTCAGCATACAGTCCACTATATTTTCTGGGCTGATGGACAAGCCTAGATTTCTCTCGAGTTCCGTCCTTGTCACCTCGTATAGAGGGCATCGGAAGAACACGTGCTCCGCATCTTCGGTCACCACGCGGCAATGTTGACAGTTCGGGGAGTCCCTTCTCTTGAATCTGTGCAAGTATGCTCGAAAGCATGCATAAAAAGTGTCGCAATATGTATGTATGTATATATAACTTTATTTGTTCCAAATAACTTACATTTTACTATAAGCTAAAAAAGGTCGATAGGTTCTATAGGTCTATTGAACCTGTAAAATAACAATATTTAAAAAACTAATTTTACAAAGAAAATCTTAAAATAAATAAAATAAACACTAATATTAAAAACATGCAATATGCATATCAAACAACAAAATATCGTGTTTATATTTTGCTCAAATAAATCCCTATTATTATTCAGAAATAAAAACGTCTCTAACAAATATATACATGTAACTGTCAATATTTTCTGCTCAGCAAAAATATGTCTACAAGTCTCAATTGTTCTCATTCTATAAATTGCTCTGATACATCTCTTTTGTAATATATTTATTCTTTCAGTATCTGGAAAATTTCCCCAAAATATAATGCCATAACTTATTCTAGATTGAACATAGGCATGGTATGCTGACAAAGCTGCCTCAACACCTACTTCATTTGTAATAACTCTTAGAGCAAAGCAAAACTTCAAAGTGCAAGTCGCAATATTATTAATATGTTGTTTCCAGTCCAAACGTCTGTCAATTTTTAGGCCTAAAAATGACACTCTTTGATATGTTTCCAAGGAACATTATTGTACGAGAATGTCAAGATATTATCGATGCTATTTCCGAATACTAAACACTGAGTATATTGAATATTGACCATCTGACGTTTATTTCTGTTTTTGTTTTAGTGAGATATTTCTCTGGCTGTCATAACAATGTCCGCCATTTTCACATGTAGGATACTAGCGTCCTCATCCATGGTCCGTTTATTCTGGGTTTTCAAGCTTCATGAAAATATTCCGCGGCCCTTTCATTTTTTCCTTTTTAATCCGCTTGTAAAAATTTCAATAAAATTTTCAGCCACAGTCTCATCTTCTCCGTAGGTGTGAATCTCGTAGAACTTGCAAAACTCTCGTAAGACAAAACTCAGTGGAATGCTATCTGCACATACCTGTACCGAAAGAGTCAATCTTATAACCTCGTGCTGGTGGCGGCATTTAATTTCTCCACAATCCACTAGAGGGTTTACACCAATGAACTTGAGGTGTACCATACGGCTGTTGTTCGGCTCAACATTATCATCCTCGTCCTTGGTGTAGTCCGCATGGCTCTACCTAAGCAACTACAGAAGCTTGGTGCACTAAAATCAGAAAACGTCATGGACGCAAACACAATGAAAAATATTGTAGACGCTTTATTTCCCACGCACATTGTGCGCTCTGATGTGGCCATAGAGCTGGTAGAGGATATTCCTGCTTTCTCACTAGAGGAACTACAAAAAGCCATAGGGAGTTTAAAAAATAAAAAGGCTCCTGGCCCAGACGGCATGCAGGCGGAAGTTCTTAAGATAGCACTTCAATCAAACCCTGATCTGTTGCTGACAATGTATAATGCTTGCCTGTCGACAGGAGTTTTTAGCAAGCGTTGGAAAGTTGCACGCCTTGTCCTGATCAGCGAAGGAAAAGGAGATCCAACAGAGCCGTCCTCATACCGACCATTGTGCATGCTTGACGCAGCGAGGAAAGCCTTGGAGAAATTACTGAAGCCACGATTGCTTAGCGCAATAGAAAATGCTGGGGGATTATCTCCTAAACAATATCGTTTTCGGTCTAGAAGATCTACAACTGATGCTGTCATGGAGGTCGTCGAAGCTGTTCGAAGAGCGGAAAACCGCAACCGCCATTCACGCCGCATTGTCTTACTCGTGACGCTTGACGTTAGGAATGCATTCAATTCAGCAAACTGGAACGATGTGCTTACAGCCTTAGAAAAATCTTTTCACATACCGAAATATCTTCTACGAATGATAGACGACTACCTAAGAAATCGCGTTCTCATTTACGAAACTAAAGAAGGGTACAGAAGGAAGACGATAACATCGGGGGCTGCACAAGGATCTACCTTGGTCCGGATCTATGGAATGCGTCTTACGATGGCCTATTGAGAACAAATATGCCCGTGGAAACAGTATTGGTCGGATACGCCGATGACGTCGCCGCACTTATCGCAGCTAGAGATATGGAGATGGCCCAAATCAAATTAAGGAGTGTGATGCTAACTATTAATAACTGGATGACGAACCATGGACTATCACTGGCCCTTATGAAAACAGGAATTGTGGTTCTCACAAAAGCAGAATAAACACAGTGCTCCCATTCCACGTAGGGGGAGAGATAGTTACATCAAAACCAGCAGTAAAATATCTTGGCATCACCATAGACAATAAAATGACCTTCTGGGAACAGATAAAAATGACCGCAGGCAAGGCCGCTAAAGGTGTCGCAGCACTGAGTAGACTTATGGCCAACACGATTGGACCCAAGTCAAGTAAACGGCGATTATTGATGTCGACTGTTCAATCGGTTCTTCTATATGGCGCTGAGATTTGGGCAGTAGTTCTATCGAAGGAAAAATATAGAAAACGTTTGGCCCAAGTGCAGAGACAGGCAGCACTCAGAGTAGCTTCATCTTACCGCACAGTTTCCGAACCTGCAGTGCTGGTTATCGCAGGGATAGCACCTATAGCTCTACTTGCCAGAGAACGGTATGCCATATACCAAAGAATAACCGAATTGAACCAAAAAGAAGTTAAAAAGGAGGAAATCAACAGGACTTATGAAGCATGGCAGAGATTATGGGAACAGGAGAGTAGGGGTCGCTGGACTGCGCGACTTATTAAATCGGTGAAAACCTGGACACAAAGGGAACACGGGGAAATAAATTATTACTTGACCCAGTTTCTAGCGGCCACGGCTATTTTTTATCGTATCTTGAAAAAATGAGAAAGGTAACATCACCAGTATGCCTTTACTGCGAAGGTTATGATGACGCAGAACATACCTTTTTTACATGCGAGAGGTGGAGCGTATACAGAAGGAATATCGAGGAAGAAATTGAAGGACAACTATCCCCTCATAACATCGTCCAAAAAATGCATCAAAGCCCTGAAAACTGGAACCGCATATCAAGGTATGTGGAAAAGATAGTAAGGGAAAAGAAAAGCGACCTGGATAACCGCTGATACCATAAACAGAAGCGAGCCCGAGGGCGATAAAAAACGGACTAGTCTCGAAGTAATGTGCTAAACGGTCCCGAACTAGAGTCCAAGACGTAAAAGGAGGTGTTTTAGTCGGTATTTATTAAGAGAGCCCGACACTTCGTGCGTAAATTGCATTTCACCTCCTTACAAAAAAAAATCAGAGCATGAACTTTATCTTTGTTTGATGGATTATAGACAACCAAACAATATACCCATAAGATATCAAGAGTCTCACGATCGCAGTGTACAAAATAATTTGGCTATTTTTACAAGGATCGTACAAAAATAAATTATTTTAGGTACATTATAAAAATTAATTCAAAACTGCTTTAAAATATTTAACTGGATGATATGTTTATTAATTCATCGAATCAACTTTTTTGATTAAAGTCTTCTCAAATTCTTTCGCAAAATGGTAGAGTAGATATTTGAATTTGCCCAAGTAATGCATCAAAAATAAATATGATTTTTTATGCATTTTAAAAGAGTTTTTTAAAAAAATTATTTTTATTTTTACTGGGTAGGTACCTATTTCAAACAGAGGTGTTACGGTCCTGTTTGCCCCCTAAAAACAATATCACCGTACCTCTAGGAGGCGGCTGATATTTACGTTATTGTTTATGGGGTCCCGCGCCATGGGGTACTCTCAGTGGTCCCTCATGGAGTCTCTCGATGGACCGATTCTTTCGGCGGTCAGATTTCTTTGGTTATCGGCAAGGGGCCCTATATAAATATGTTTAGCACTTGTTTCGGGCCTTTTTTATGCTAGATGAACGATAGTATCTTGTTCGTCGTGTAAATTGTCCATTTCTTATCGGATTCAATCCTTTGAAGTTTGTTGATTCATATTGTATTTTGGAATGCGACGCGACGGTTGTCTTTTATATTTTGCGTATAGAGGTAGTACGTACGTACTTCTAAAATTGCGTTCTCAAAGACGCCGACTGCACTGGAGACTGGAACTTTTGACCACGCAGTTCATTCTTAATTTTTGGAAAATCAAAAAAGGCATTATAGAACTAGGTCGGGACTGTATGGGAAATGGTCCAGCAATTCGAAGTTTTCTTACTTTACTCAATTGTTTTTCGAGCTCTGTGGGAACTTTCTTTGTCTTGGTGGAGGATCATTCCATTGATGGTTTTTTCTTCGAAACTTGGCAATTACACTTGGCAAACAAATAGATATACAAGGTGTCCCAGGCTGAGCGTGCATTAGAAGTTTCTAGAAAACTACAACATCTAGCTCAAGGATTTTTTGCACATCAAAGTTTCACAACGAGATCTATCGATTAAAAATATTTTCAATATGGCGGAACTTCCGGAAATACCGGAAGATGACAGCAACTTTCTTATTTTAAAAGGGTGTCCCCATTTTTACTGCATACTTAAATTCTCTGTAAAATTTTATGACTTTTGATATTAAACACTCTATATCTAACATTGACCGTTTTTGAGAAAAAAAATATTTAAAATTTTTGAACAAAAAAATTATGTGTATAGCCTAAACGCCAAATTAGTGATTAGCACAGCCACTGTGATATAAAGAGAAAACATGTGGCTATCTGTTCCAATAATTAAATTGTTCGAACGTCATATAATAATGGCCGCAGCTGTCATAGAATTGAGCGATTAAAAAATTATCATAAATCATTTTTTTCAAAATGGAAACCCACTTTTTTTATTTTACTAGTGAAAAGGCTTATAAATTCGAATAAATTCTTTTTGACTATACATGTTCCTATACCTAAAATAAATCGTTTTTAAGTTATTAAAGATTTAGTTTTAAAGCGTATATTTTTCTTGAGTTTAACCAGTACCCTATGACTTTAAACGTCAAGTGATGTAAAACAATAGATCCGGCCATGTCATCTTGTGACTCCTTTTTCAAAAAGCAGCATCTTTTCCGAACCAACTTTGCGCTGCTTTTTTTCGATCATACGGAATATTATTAATAATATCCAACTATTAGATATCACTAAAGAGCGAAAATACGAGATATATTTTTATAAATACACTTTTTAAATTCTTAAGCGGGCAGTATTTATAATATAGGAAATACAAATAATTAGTTTTCTGACAGATAGAAAGAAATTGTGTAACCCGTCGACACTTAATGTCGGTTATGGCTAAATATACGGTTTCAAATTAAATCTAAATAACTTAAAAACGATTTATTTTAGATATAGGAACATGTAAACGGTAAATGTATTATCCGGCCGGATACCGAATAATAACTCAATATCCGGCCGGATACCGGATATTCAAAAAGGAACATAAACAACAAGAAATAATGTACTTACAGTTTAAACTGCTTTTATTTAAAGCTGAAAATAACAAAAACTTAAAAAAAAATAAATAAAAATATTCATTATTCACTTTAATGAAAAATACAAAAATGAAAACTTCATATAGTGACATAAATAACTAATAAGAAATGAAAAAACATAAAGCGTTTGTCGGTAATAGGCGATTTCGCTCGTTACCGTAAACCACACTGCCTTCGGAAAACAACCTCTTACTAAAAACACTGCTGCAAGGAGCTGAGAGGTATATATTCGCAAAGTTCGTCAAATTGGGTTAGTGGTTTTCGTTATCCGACCACCAACAGTAAGGGTCCCGACTATAATCAAATGGAACTGTTTTCAAGTAGAAGTAGATCACGCTTACAGTTGGGGTTTTCTCTCGTCATTTTCATCTGCGATTTCACAGAAACAATCGCGATGGCCGGATATTCGGCCATCCGGCCTCTCAGCTCGCCGAATATCCTGTATTCGGTATCCGGCCAAACAACTATCCGTTTCATCACTAGTATAGAGTGTTTAATTTCAAAATGCATAAAAATTTCACAGAGAATTTAAGTATGTAATAAAAAATGGGGGTACCCATTTAAAATAAGAAAGTTGTTGTCAACTTCCAGTAGTTCCGGAAGTGCCGTCATATTGAAAATATTTTTTAATCGATAGATCTCGTTGTGAAACAATGATGTGCAAGAAATATCCAATCTAGATGTTGTAGTTCTCTAAAAACTTCTAATGCACGCTCAGCCAGGGACACCCTGTATACCAGTCAGCAGAAACAGCTCTTTGATCTTGCAAAAGAGTTGTTGCTAAATGATCCACTTTTGAAACAAATGCCGCCATTATGTTTTTAGAAACACTTCGAGAACGGCCGATTAACGTTTATTTTCGGGTTCATAAGAGTAAATCCAGGGTTCATCACCACTGGCAATACTGTACATATTTTTTGAGTTTCCTGCGTTAATCGATCTAGAGTTTTTTGACACCAATTGCCTCTAATTGCTTTCTGTTCTTCCGTTACCAGATGCGGTATCCAACGAGAAACTATTTTTTACAGATAATTCTTTATGTGAAATTTTTTGAAATGAGGTCTTTGAAATATCCAACGGTGCTGCTGCAATTTCACGATATGTGACGTCGATATTCTTGGATCAGTTTACGAACAGCATCGACCTTAGTTACGAACACTTTTCCTGGGTTAATGCCGTTGTTAGTTGATCTGTCCTTGGATTGTCGATAAGGCTAAATAAGACTAATCCGTTTTCCACGTTTAAATTCTCCATAGCAACGAGAAACTGTTGACAGATGTGGTGCTTCATTGTCGAAATCGAAAAATTCTTGTTGAGACAACAGTCTTCGAAAATTGTAAAAAGTTACTGCTCGAACATTTTCTCTCAACAAAACAACAATGAAACAAAAGATGACCACGTTATACAGTGTGTGTAGATTTAGTAAGCCCGTGAAATGTGGCAATAATTTATCTATGTCTCGTTGACTGAGATTTGACGCGACGGGAGTCCGAGAGAGGGTCTATTCGGTAAAAAAATTCGCCCAAGAATTAATAGGAAATGATGAGAGGGCCGCCATTGTTCGCCAAGACGGTTCGGAGAAAAGCCAGCCACCGTTGCAATTTACGACAATATCAGAAATAAGATCGATCGCACTAAATCCTCCCTTTCGATAGTTAAACATTCGTGACCAAAATCCTTGTAATATTTTTTTGGATATAACAAAATGCTGTCTCATAACATAGTATTGAAAAGTTGTGTATCCAAGATCTCGTATCTCTGTAATTTTTTGTCTATATTTTTATTTATATTTCGATTCGAGTATTTTCTATATCGGGTGCGTCTCAAAAGTGGCTCACCCTATAACTTTTTTATTTGTTCAGATAAAACAACGAGATTTGGTATGTTAGTATATGACATAAATTAGGATTGATTGACATATTCAATTGTTTTCGGTCACATCCGGTTTCACCGGAAATGACTACAACTTTTGATTTTTAAATGCCACCCGCGGTATTTTTTTACTTTATTCGAAGGAAAATGACACTCTGAATAGAATGACATATCATATGTCAACTTTTGACATGTTCGCATATGGTTTATTTGAAATTGTACCCTGCGGTTCAAAACGACAATTTGACTCAAAATACCAAGTGTGTGGTATCAAATTATTCATAAAAAAATGCTTTTTCCAAATATGCTAATGAGCCACCCTCGTTCCGTTTGAAAAAATTGAGATATGATTAAAAATACCATTTAGGCATATTTTAACCGACCAGGACAAGACACTACAAACATTAGACGATCAAATCTATTTTTCCAAGTCTCCTTGATTAAAAATTAGTGTTTTTAACACAGCTATGGCACTCTAGATTGAAATTTAAAATACAATTTGTTTTTGAGCGAATATATCAAAAGTTGAAATATGATATGTAATTC